AAAGAGCAATTTGAAGGTTCGATCGAGCCAAACCTGCATGGAGCTGTCGATAGGTCCGCTATTGAATTAGGCGTGACTGATTTGAGTCATTCACGTATTCACGTAGATGGCTGAAAAGATAAAAAAAAAGTCGATGGTTTGGTGGATTACCAAAGGAAGATTGTACTAAGGACGTGCAACAAGGATTTATTACTACGTTTAGCACAAGTATCGACTACAATAATACATTCACGGGGTTTATATACACAATATGTGGGCGGTCCTCAGATATCGTACCGTCGCGACCGCAGTGCCGCAGCGGTGGTACTCAAAGTTTGGGGAATGAAAGAGCGGACCGCGCCGACGGCAGAACCTACTTGATTGCACACTTATGATACCGCCGGGTCATGCCTGCGGTATCATCTCAAGAGATACTCATATCAAGTTATGCCTATGGTTAATAAGTTGAACTAGCATGTTATCAATCATTTGTATGAATCCTAGTTCTATTAGGAGTTTATATAGTTGCTGTATCCACAACAGATGGCTTCGTATTGTCAACTGCGGTTCTTCTGAATTCTTCAATGAAAACGACCGTTTCTTGATCGAATTATGACCCGATGGGGAATTATTATCCTCTAATTTTATAAACCCGCTAATTGTATGTATGTATGTATGTATGTATGTATGTATGTATGTATGTATGTATGTCCGTGTGTCCGTCCGCAAAATGAAGTGAGTAAGGAAGCTCATGGGATAAACAAACCGCTAACAAATCGGGTAGCTTACAGGATTTGAGATATCAATGTTTTGTAGCAGGATAGTTGTGATAACACTCTTAGGGCCGGGGTCTGTGGGGGGCGTCCGGGTGTTTTTGGCCGTTCGGCCGGGGGTAGGGAGTCCTGCGGGGTCTGTGGTCGAGTCTGCTATTATAAAACTTCCTGCCTTAGCACACTTCCGGTCCATCATATGGGCTGCAGTGCAGGCCGATGCAGTGGAATAAGAAAGTGAGGATGGGAAGGGAGGCGGAAAATCCACAGTCATGTCATGATTATGGCGATCCCTTCTACTGTATGAAACACCATTGTGTTGCATACGCGTCACTTCCAGGAGGTGTTGGTGTCACAGGAGGAAGGGACCATAGCGGAGGATAGAAAGCTTGCGCAGGAAAGGAAGGTCCCGGCGGTTGACGGGGGACTAATCTGGTTAGCAAATAAAAAAGAATCTCCGAACGGAAAGCTCAATCACGACTGAGGTAAACCGGACTTCTCAAACTTGAAACGCACGACCCGTACTTGTCGGTTCCACGAATGGTTTGTCCGGTGTGTGGGTGGGTTATCGTGAAGGCGCATAGCGAAGAAACGAATTTATCAGCGAGGAGAGAGCGAAAAAGGAATCCTGTTCTTCAATTCGTGCAAGGGCGGGGCGGCGACTAGGAACGGCAGACTATGTACATTTAGCCGCCACGCGTCTTTCACCATGCCAATGCTGTGCCGGGTAACAAAAGTCGTCCAAATCACCAATTGGACTAGCGCGCGGTTTGCTTTTGTGGCCGTGTGCTTTCCAAGTCCTGCTATCCACCAGCGCACACGTGATCTTTCGTTGTGTAGAGCGTCCTCACCTCGCGTTCCTCATAACGCCATATGATCTGCTTTGTGCAGCGTTATTTCTATAGATAGTTCCTCATGACTCCTCTTAATCGTGACGTTTTCCTTTAACCCATTCGTGACAATGTCAGCCACCGGTGGCTGACAAAGCTCTCACTCGGGACAATGGTATTACTGTGGCTGCAGGGCTTGAAATGGAATTTGGAAAGTTTTCTTCCATGGAAAGAATCTTCATACCCTCGCTCATCTACGCCAGCCCTGGGCAGAGGAAATCTCCCTTCCACTCGGATTTTATTGAAGAAAAATCTCCTGACGCTGCTGCTATTGCGCAATCCTGCGCGGTCGCGAATGGGTTAAAATGCTCGAAGACATGGTGACTGTCACGCAGTCTGTGGCAGCCGCAGCTCTCCGAGCCCAGCCGTACATAACTGCTACAAAGAGACAGTATTTTCTCCCACATGACAAAATAAACTGAAAACGTCCGCACATGAATCCCAGCAAAGGTGTGAGTGTGTAAAGGGCCGGGTCCTGTTGTCCAATCAGGACTGATTGACACTAATACTTTTCCTTTTTACCCTTCTTACGAATGGCAACCGGTTAAATTATGTGGAATTAGTTTACGAACTTAATATTAGTTCACGAGAGCTGCATTCATTTCTATTCCTTCTGGAATTACTGACCGACGTCCTTCGGACTTTCCAGCGACAGCGGGCACATGCTCATGTTTCCCCCAAGGAATGCTCAGTGCAGAGCACAGTTTTGTGCCCTTTTCTGTTGTTAGGCTTAATGCACAGCTACCGGATGGAGGTATACCAGCTATTTTTGAGGGGAAGGAGGGTGGACTTGAATTAAATTAGCACTTCCACCAAACCTAAAGTGCATTGCATTACAAGTATGATGACGACATAATCCCCTTGAATATGCGAGTATTTCCGAGAATGCATAGACGATTGATTCAAGTATTCACAAGGAGGAATTGATAGTTCAAGAACAAGAACTAACACAAAGAACTGACCAGCAAAGGACATTACGTCCAGGTGGTCCTTCATGATGATGCGCTCATCAGCGTCTGCACTTTGTATGCCTTGTTCATGAAATCCTTGAGGCTGTCTAGGTTTTTCAGCTATCTGATATGTCATGGTTGAATAATATCGAGAAAGGTGGTCGCATCGGACAGTTTTAAGCCAAGAAATTTCAAGCCAGGATAGGATCACTGGCCTGACTCCTTTTAGCTGACTCCTTGCTAGTCCCCCTTCTTTAATATCACTTGTACACAACTATGGATTTTAAGATGATTGAGAAATACTTCCTTGAGGGAATTGTACGACTTCTGAGGTGTATTGTGAAAAAGCTTTGTTTCCAAGGGCTCCAGGTTCAAGCTGACGTTCGATAACGAGATGGGGTCGTGAAAAGGTGACGGCATAGAGAATGGGATTTCGAAAGAGCTCCTTGCAGAGCTGTTTGAGGGGAAAGTGAAATGAAATCGTGTGCCGGCATTGAAACAAAGTAAATTATTGCACTATAAATTTTGATGACATTTTTTGATTTTCTTTTTGAAACAATCATTGAGGGAGAAGTTACTGTAGAGTAATTGATAATGTGCAAAAACGTGAAAAGTGGTTTCTCTGCCGTGATTGCCCTTGCCTTGAAAAGTTCTGGCCCGACCCGACACGGTGGATATTCCCACTGAGATGTCCAGAAAGTCCTGCGACAATTTGTCCATAATTTTTGGTTGAATCTTCTTTTGTTGGATAGAACAGTGAGACAGCCGAATTATCACCATTAGCACATAGGAGACGCATCCTTTTCCTGGCAGCTTCTCAACTCTCTTACTTTAGAATTCCGGCGTTTGCTTTGAAAAGAAGCGATCGATCCCATTTTCGAGTTGACCTCAATCATTGAATTTTCCTCTTCTAGGAGACGCTTTAGTGCACTAATTATGTAATAGTTCAGAAGCGACAGACAATGAGTGGGAAAAGTGAGCCAAACACTGCAAAATTCCCAATAAAAATTCATGATTTCTTGAAAATAATGATTTCTTGTCATTCAACATTAACAAGAAGATGGCTGCATCTGGACAAAGAACAAATTAAAGTTTTGAAACTTGATGC